TTTTGACAGGGTGCCTTGTTTGAGGAGAAGCGTCATTTATTTAGTGTGCCTTTTTTTGGGACTTCTATGGGGCGCCAACCAACAACTAAGGAGAATCTTCATCGCGTGTGCGGTGGCTATCAGGCCTGCATGGCGCAGCTCGCCGCCTCCGTTCCTGAGAGCTTTCTGCAGAACGTGACAGCAGACATCGAGAAGGTGTTGCTTTGGTCTGCAATTGGCTCCACACGACGGGAAACATTGACACTTAGTTTGGTTGGGGCCAACCATTTGCATCAGTATTGCTTTGGATGAAACGTGTGCGTCAATCCTGACTACTTCGGCTTCAATCGACCCAGAAATGTGCTTTGGTGATTGTGTTGTTCCTGTTTCGTACTACTTGTGCCGCAAACCGGCTAAGACCCCTAGAAGTTGGAACTGTTGTGTTTACCGGTTACATGTTGAGTCTTCTGTGAACTGTTGTGTTCAACAACCCTTCAAACCATTCCCTAAAGCATATCAAAGCCCTGGGCGGGGGAGTGGTGCGCAAATCCTCGCTTCTTGGTCGAAACATGTTGGTGTCCGGGCCACTTTTGGCTGCAAAATTATCGCAAAACGACGCAACATCGGGTCAACTGGCATGGACTGCTGGCATGCCCTGAGACGACACCACACACACACAGTGTCAAGGGACGTGCAATGATGTCAGATTTTGCTGGCTCATACCAAACTACCTCACATTAGTTTGTCAGCGGTTCGTGCTAGAACGCCCAGCTTTTTCCAACGGCACCCATTACCAACAACCCCCAGACATTTGTGGGCGCTTGAAGTTTCAAGCTCGGAAACACGTTAGACACGGACATCAAACTCGGTCTGGAATCTTACATACCATGTGCACCAACCCCAATTTCGAAATCAGTGAAACACATGTCAGCAATATACGTGCATATACATGTTGGACCATGCGGAACATGTGCATCGGTTTTCCGTTTGGATTCAAATGAATACTCACAAGTGTCTTGATCGGGAGCCACGTGCGTCATTTGCAGCATTCACGCAAACCGCGCGTAACCATCTTGTGCATCACTCTAGAATTGGAAACACCCGTTTTGAACAATCTCGCGACTCAGTCAGGTTTTTGCTTCGGCACGGGGATGCGGAGATTACGGTGATGCTGGAATCTTCTGTGCCCCCAGCGGACCTGGGTAAGGTCACCATCTTTGCCACACAGATCGCCAAGTACCAGCAACAGGCTCGTTTTTGAATGGGCTTTTTGATACTGGCCATAACGAGTCCGATGTTTCTTCATTTGGTTTTTGAACGGGTCTTTTGCACGTTTTGTTTAACGGGTCTTTTTCGAACGGGGGTGTTTCGAACGTTTGTCTGAATGCTTTTTGAAAGGGTTTTGTATGGTTTTGTTTCACGGGTTGCGCCTGCCAAGCACCTTGAAGGTTGATGAGAGCAAAGTCACCGAGGCAGCCCAGCGCCCCAGCAGCAACCAGCGTCTTGTCCAGGCAGATTCGGCGGCGCTGACCTACCAAGGCTCTCGGCGCAGCTGCAACAAACAACGTTCAAGCAGCTGGAGCTGAGTGTGTCCACCGACATGGACAAGTTGAACAAATGGGCCGCGGACTTCAACGTCCACTCAAGTCAACAGGCACGATGTTAATCACCATCAAAATTGAAGCATATTCCGGTTCAATCATCAGGCCAACGTTTGTTAAACCAAGTGGAGTTTGCTCTGAGGGCGATCTGGATATCAAGTATCTGGCGAGCCGCTTTCAGAGGGGCAAGGAGGCATGCGACAAGTTCATGCAGGACAAACACCAGTTCCATCTCTTGTCAACGCTGAACGGCCTCCACGGTGAAGTGGTTCGCAAGCAAGCCGAGCTCGGCTCATCCACGTTCCTTGGCTGGGCCAAGGCTGAGAGTGACCCTGTTCGGTTTCTCACACTTGTTCGGTTTCCCAGGCTTACCATCATCATCGTTGACCTGACCCTGTGGCCAAACCGACTCTTGATAGACTTAGTTCCGATTTCGTGATGGGCTCTATTTACTTGAGTTTATTGTTCCATTGTCTAAGGACTGTTGGCAGTGGACGAATGCATGAGCCTTATCCAGGCAGTGTGCAGTGGCAACGCCTCTACAGTGGCCTTTGTCATGATGCCCCAGTGGCACTCCAGCACAAGCAGGAGCACAACTGTGAAGAACAGGCGGTTGGTTGAGGACAAGCTTATGGGGACTCTTGGTTGAAGCCCTTCTCACACCCAATCTTATCCATCCCCAAACCGGCCAACCTCCAAAGTTGAGCCCAGTCAGACTCCAACCCTATCAAACTCCAACCCTATCAAACTCCAACCCTACCAAACTCCAGCCCTAACTCCAACCCGACCAAACTCCAACCCTAACTCCAATCCTGCCAAACTCCGGCCTAGCAAGCTCCACCCCTCTCAACCCGCAGCCGCCTAAAATCCAACCCATCAAATTACAACCCCAATCCAGTCAAGCTCCAACCCTACCAAGCTGCAACCCTATCCAACCTACCAAGCCCACAGACTCCAGCCCTACCAAGGCCCAACCCTATCCAACTTATTGAGCTCCAACCCCCGTGTGGATCAAGCCATCAAACTCCGACCATATCCAACTCCAAATCCCCAGTCTCACTGGTTCCAGCCCGATCAAGCCCCAACCCCGTCGCGACCCTCCCTTTCAAGACGCAACCCTATCACGCTACAACCTTGCCAACTTCCAACCCTAGCAAACTTCACACCTTCAACTCTGTCAAACTTTAGCCCTGTCACATCCTGGGTCCAAAACAATTCGTGTGACATGCTCGACAAGCTCAACCCTATCAGACTCAAACCTCATCAAGCTTTAAACCCCGTTAAAATGCCGCTGCTTGTCTCAGGATTGGTGACCTGTATGAGATCTCGGTTACCTTCAACACTTCGGACCATGCTGGCGACAGAAGGAAGACATCGCAACAGTGCGCCGTAGCTTTTAATCATTGAACTTCTCCCTGCACCTTGCCAACAATGGTTCACATGTGTTTTTCAATTGAGGTCTCGGGACCATGGGCGCCACGCAGAACACCGCGCCTTTTGCAAAGTCGAGGGCACTGCTCGGCAACATTGCAGGAGTTCCGCGCGCTCGCGTAGTCGATCTCCAAAACCCAGAGGCGGACAAGCCACTGGCTCCTCATTGGCGGGCGCTTTGGCAAAACAGGTTTTGTTGACCCGTTGCAAAATCCACTCAAAATGGTTCTTGGACAACTTGCTCCCGTTTTTGAGAACTCTTGATTTCAGGTGCAACAACGTGGGGTGGCAGGTTGCCGCGCAATCTTGGATGGGCTGCTTGAAGGGATGGACATTCAGGAGAACCAGCCGCTTCTCATAGTGGACGCCATGCCAAACAGGTTTCTTAGTTCACTATCTAGTGTCGGGCATCCATGCACGCTTGAATGTGTTGCCAACGGAAACAAAGGTTCCATGAGTGGAGTTCTGCTTCGTGGGAACTTCAGCTGAACAAGCTGCAGGGGGGCACCGAGACCACACACTGCCAAAAGATGCAGACATATTTCATGGCTGTCTTCCATGTGGATGACTCCGCGCGCTGCGATGCAGTGCGGGCAACGATGAATGGCCGGATTTTATCCCAATGGTGGGATTCCTCTTCGGAAGCCGGACCGGCGTCGCGGCCGGAAAGCCAATTCTCTGTGCCCCTGCCATCCTTGGAAGTGGTGTCGGTGGCCAATGGCCAAGCTCAGTCCCTTAGACCCGAACAATCCTTTGTAGGATTGCAGAGTTTGAATCTCATTCAAAATTCGTACGTCCGGGTTGCAAGCCTAATTGCTTGCTAGTGTGAGGCTACCCGACCTCGTGAAGCAGAAGTACGCATCAACCCACAGCTCTGCGTTGGCAGACATGGAGGAATCGTTTGGCAAGAACACCGCGCTGGCTACTGCCCTCAAGTTCAAGGAAGGCGCTCGCCCAACCACTCAGGTTTCCGCTGGGTCTGGCCCAACACCGCCCAGGCCGGCACGCACATCGGCGAGCCCAGACTGGGGCGACGCTCACCCCCCCAACACCGCAAGAGTTGGGACGTTCTCCCACGTGACCCTGAACGACTTCGAGACCAACAACACGCGCCTTGCTTTTTCGTGGGGGTTCTTCTCCTTTTTTTTTTTTTGCAAACCACATGCACCTACACCACAATCCCTACTTCTTTTCCCACTGCCAAGCTCTGCCATCGGTTTTGGAGCTCCTAGTACCCAAGGAAACTGCCTGTGCCAATTGTCCAAATATCACACGTTTCAATTTTTAGACCATTAGGCCGCACGTTTTTCAACCGAGGGTGGCCAACTCCTGCACCATCGCCCGATGCACTTCTTTGACCGTGGCCCTCACTACATCAGGGGACCTGTGGATCCTGAACAAGTCGACCGCCGAGCAAACGCTCACTGCTGGGGAATGTTTGGGTTCAATTTTGGGGCCTTCGCCGATATGCCATCAGGCCCGGGTCCCTTGTGCCAAGTTCCGTTTGCAAAGCAGCAGCTCCCTCCTCGCGCCAGGAACGGTGGGCCAGTCGCAGGACCACATTCCTTGGCTGATCGTGGACGACATGCAGCTGGTGTCCCTACTCCCAGGGGTTGGCGGAAGTGGCACCAAAGACATGCTGACTGTGGCAGATGTGATGTGCCGAATCACGCGCGAAAGGGGGGTCACGGAAAGCAAGGTGGTTGATCATGACCTGGATGCTAAAAAAACTGCCGCTTGCCAAGTGCTTTGTCGCTTTTGCAAACTGGTTTCGGCACGAGGGTGCCATTTCATTGTCAATGACAATTGTGTTGATCGAAGTTTGGGCTCTGCAGAAAACCAATTCGTACTTCAACGTTCCTTACTCAACTCAAAACCATCATGGCCGTCGAGCCCCATTAACCTTGTATTTTGTTTTTCGTTTTTTTCTGGATTAAGTTGTTTGCTGACCCCACCATTCAGGCTGACACCGACGGAACAAGTCGGCCCATGAGCTTCCGGTATACCGTGAAGCCTCGCATGAAAGTGAACGCCTTCAAGCCCAAGGAGCTCACCGCCGAGGAAAAGGGCGCTGGCGAACTGCGGGCCTCGCAGTTCGGGGCTTTGTGGTGCAACAAGTTTGCCAGCATCCCGAAAAACAAGGATTGTGGCATCATCTGGGAGGCACGGGGTTGGGTTGCTCTCTCAATTTGTTAGGTCGCGTGATCTTTTTGAAGCATCATTGAATCAAGAATCGGCCAAGATGGCCCCGCAACAGTTTTGTAAAATACTTGTCGCCCCAAACAGTTTGATGGCAACCGTTTTCAATTGCCTAACGTTCCCAGAAGCGTTTTTTGCCAGTGTGGCAAGCAGCTTGAATAAGATTGCTGGTTTTCCCACAAAGTATGAGCGCTTAGGGTTTGCTTCCAAATCACATGTTGCAACAGTTTGGGCTTTGACCCCTATGGCACCACGACAGGTGAAGGTGGGTGAAGAAGTTCCGGCAACCGTTGCTCCAACCAAGCCGAAGTTTTGTCTTCTCTGCAAGGCAGTGCTGAAGGTGGCAAGTGCCATCAAGATTACTTAGCAGGCGCACGCATGCGCAAGTAGGATTTGTGTGTGTGCGCAAGGGAGCATGACAATGAGTCAACATGCATCGCATGAGAGCCGGACTTGACCGACACACACATTTCATATGATCATGCGGGTGGTTCCTGGGAGTCACACACACACCAAGTGTCCGTGCCTGACACACGCACCAACGCAGCTTCGGAAAACAATTGTGAGACATGTGGCAACCTGACACTCAAAGCTTGTTTTTGAGGGTCTGTGGATTCATAGCTTGACAATCTCCCATTTGAGGGCTTGTTTCAAAACGTTGGGTTTGAAAGCTTGCTTCAACGACTCAAACTGCTCCCTCAAAGATTTGTGGATCAGGACTTGATGTGAGGGTTGATGAGGGTTTTGGCTCGTGAACACTTCGCAGGTGTCTTAGGGCTGCCATGGTTTTGCCGGCCATCACGGCCCTTTCTGATGATGAGCCAACTGACCCTCCGGAACCGAAAGCAAAGGCGAAGACTAAGCCCAAAGCCAGACCCAAAGTGGCAGCCGAACCAACAGACCCTGAGCCACACCACCCTCAGCCAAAGCCAAAGCCAAAGCGAAAAGCGCAGGCGAAGAGTTCTAAGCCAAAGGCGAAGGCGAAAACCAAAGCCGTTGCCAAGAAGCCCGCCGCCGCGGAAGATGATGATGGCGCCAGCGCGCCCAGCATGAAACGACCGGCGGCCGCGGTCACAGATGACCATGTCAAAGTTTCTAAGTACAAATACAAGGCCACTGGAAAATGGGGCTTCAAGGTCAATGGCCGGGAGGTGATGGGTGCTTCTTGGTGCTACTTATGTTTTTTGATTTTCTGATTTTCGTTTATGTTTTTCACCCTGAGGTTAAGCCAATGGAAGGCATCGATGATGCAACACTGGAAACGGTTGCTGCAACTTGCCCTGCAAACCGGGTCCCGAAGTGGTCCAAAGCAAGGCACTATGAGTTGGTCTCAATGCGAAAATGCGTGTTTTGCTAAGGAAGCGGTTCGATGCGAACTCGTCAAGACAAAGGGTGATACTTCCGCTGCTTTGACCTTGAGAGCAGCTGGGCCGATCAATCATGTCAAGCTTCCACACCCCCGAACAAGATTCAGTTTAAACCGGCTATGTGGAAACCCTGTTTGCGTTGCCTCTTTTTTGAACACAATTTACAGCAAAGGGTCTAGGATGGTCTAGGGTTCAAACTCAAATCCCACATCAAACCCCACCTGGCTCAAACTGCGACATGGGAGTTTTAACCAAGTTCGAACCTTTGAGGAGCGACCTGCCCATGTCCACTATGTTTCCCATGTTGAGATTAAACGATCGTTCCGGAATTTGTGCTCCACTTTCTTTTGAGCGAAGCTAAAACATGTTTTTTTCGCAGAAACCAAGCCCTTCGTGATCAAAGCAAGGCCTTGCTTGATTCTGGTCCAAGTTGTCAAAAAGAGGACTTGTTTGAGGAAACATTTATCCGGGGCAGGGGGGGGGGCCATCTTTAAACATGGACTTGTAACTTGTGGCTCAAGGGTTAAGAGGGTTCAACAGGGTTTCACTCGTTGCTGACACCCTCAGGATTGCATGGTGGAGCAGGCCATGAAAAAATCAACAGGGGCAAATGCTGAAGCCCGTGATGTGGAGGGCGAAGATGCTGAGCCTCCCCAAGACCAAGAAGAAATAGAAGAGGAAACATTGGATATGGACCCTGAGGCCATGTTTTCCCAATAGTTATTGCCCTGACCCTTGCCCCACCCTTGCAGGTGGACGCGTGACAGCTAGCGAGCTTTCACAGAGCGGCTTTTGCTTAGAGCTTAGTGCCTGAGACCAGGCCGACACAAATCGGCTTGCTTTGGAAAACAAAGGTCGCGCTGATCTTGGGAGGAAACTCTGAATCTGAAAGCTTTGCTTTGAAAGGCTTCTATTCGACATGGCCGCATCTTCAAATTGCGTTGCCTGCCCAGCCAGGCAGACTCAAAACCCTTTTGGCTTGTATTTTTCCCAGGCGTCCCCCCAGCTTGAAATGGTTTGCAAGGGTCCCGTCAAACTCATTCATGACACTGTTATATGTTCGTACTGCGTGTCGTCATGCCTTTGGCATTTCCGTTTGTTGGAACAGCCGTTTAAATCTGAAGACTAAGCAGTTTTGTGTCAAGGTCCCCTCCTGAAGCACCCCTGGCTATGTTAGCCCAAAACTCGGTACCAAGTGTCTATGCCAATGTTTCACGCAATATTACAAACTGCGCTGTTGTCACTTCGCCTTGGCTTTGCTGGCTGCTTGCAGCTACAGTAGCTGACAAAACTATTATTGTGTCATTGTGCTTTTTCTTTCGCGGATCGCTCAGTCACTTGCAGCTTCAGTAGCTGACAAAACTATTATTGTGTCATTGTGCTTTTTCTTTCGCGGATCGCTCAGTCACTTGCAGCTTCAGTAGCTGACAAAACTTTCAGTCACTTGCAGCTTCAGTAGCTGACAAAACTATTCTTGTGTCATGTGGCACACGTGTCTCCCAGTGTGCTAACAAGCCATGCAAAGTCAAAACCCCTGATGCAAACTAAACCCCTGAACCACAGGAACGCACGATCATGGCGAAAACGTTCTTCGGCATACCATGCTTCTTCTTCCAGTCGACAGCCGATTCCTTGATCTCGTCCTTGTTCCGATCATACTCGAACATTATGCTGCTCTCCTTGGTCACCGGGAAGTAGTGCTTCTTATATACATCATCCACCACTTCTCTCAGTATCTTCGCACGTATCAATGATCGTTGGACTTGGTAGGCTGATAATTCACGATGATCACTGCTTTTGAACTTCTTCTCGTCGACGTACACGTACTGATAAGGCTCATTCTCATTGTCCTCATAACCGTACCATTCCCCTTTTCGTTCCCATTGCCTTCTCTCGTCTTCGAGGTAGGTGATCTCCCCATTCTCGTCGACGTCGAGCACTTCCTTGAACCACACCATTTTCTCGGGGATCTCGGACTCGCCAGACCATCTCGATGATTCGCTCATCGCGTCGTCATCGTGCTCGTGGTAGACAGTCTCGGCTTCGTCCGGTTCGACCTGATCAACGTCCTTCTTGAAGCTTACCTTCCCTGCAGGAGCCGATTGCTTCAGGACTATCGCGGGCATTGCGATGGCCCTCCTCGCAATGGCTGGCGCTGCGGCTTTGGCGGCAGCCTTCGACTTGGCTTGCGCCTTGTCATTTGACGTTGCTGGAGCTGAATTGTTCTTGATGAGCTCATGCCTGTACTTGCAAGCGCTTCCCCTATCGCACTTCCCCTTCTGAAACGCGAAGCATGCTCCATCATCCCTCTTTGGTGACGATGATCTGGACTTGGATTTGCCCTTTCCTTTCCCCTTGGACATGCTCTCCAACTTATGCTCCGTCTTCTTGCTGTGGGAAAAAGTGCATTCATTCCCTTTCACGCACCCCTTCGCCGATTTGAAGTGGTACCAGCAGGGGTTATCCTTGCTTCCGCCCGGACTCTTGCCTCTGTCGCTGGCACCGTCGGACTTGCCGTTCTTGCCAGCGTGGCCCTTTGCCTTGGCTTTTGGGAGCACAGGAGCGGCATCAGGTCCACCGGGTTTCCCCTTTCTGCCCTTGCCACCCTGGTTCTCCTGTTTGCCAGTTGCTGGAGCCGCATCCTTCCCGCCTGACTTCATCATCGACTTGACCGATTTCTCCTTCATGTCGAGCATCAGGTCTTCCCGATCTGCCTTGATCTGATAGTCGATCAACGCCAATAAGAATTCATACGTCTTCTGAGGATGCTTGTCCGGTAGTCTATGGTAGGCATTGAGGCCGAACTCCATCTTCTTGCTCCCTTTGATCTTCCTGTAAAGGATGTCTCTGAGAGCCAGCTTACTGGGTCTGTCCTCGCTCCTCATCTTCAGCAGCAAATCATACCATTTGTTCCTGAACATGACCAAGTTCTTGTCGCCAGGAAAGTCAAGGTTGAATAAATGCTCGATGTGGTAGACAAGATCCGTTCTATCGGAAGTTCTGAATGATTGCATAACTAATGCCACCAACTCTCGTCCCTTCACGATCACCCCTTGTTGATGTCGTAGTTCAGAGTGTCGTGTAGCATCGAGGTATACGTCCTTGGCTTCGTCAGGTGCTTGTTTCAGCATGTTCTGCATGCCCATGGCCATCTTAATATCTATCGTAGCAAATCTGTCGCCACCTGAATCGCTAAGCAAATCCAGGTCTGGGTTCAACCCAAGAGCCTGCTCCAGCCATTTCGTCCATGCGTCGGTATCTGGATCTGCACATGCGCTCAGAACATTCATCAGCAGTTGCATCTTCCAGGTGTCAAGTTGATGGATCTTTGGCCAGGCCGGAATAGATACTCTCTCGGCCTCTTTCCTCGAGATTCTCGGTCGATCATTCTTGATCTCTCGGTTATCTCTCGATCTCCTTCGTCTCCTCCGTGTCCGATCGTCTTCTTCCTCTTCTTCTTCCTCGTCTTCCTCATCTCCTTCGTCGTCGTCATCCTCATCCTCATCATCGGGTGGATCATCCGGAGGTCCTCCTCCGCCACCAGCGAGGCTCAACTGACGTCGACCCGCTCCCTGCCCATTCCCATTGGGCGGGAATCCACCGTAATCCAATGGGGGCGTAGTACCGTTGTTTCCCCCCCCATCACCACCACCAGTCGTAGTAGTGGATTGTGGGACATGCCCAACAACCCCTTGCATCTGGGATAGGTGTACATCGATCATTGGATCACCGAAAGACGGAAAGAGGATCGAACCTGGCATCAGCGACGAATTAGGGATTTGATTTGAAGACGATGACGGGACTGACCCAGCCACCTTCTTGTCTATCCTATTTGAATTAGCCTGGGTTCCTCCCTCAGCGCGTTTCACTACTGCTCGTTCACGATGTCCATCTTTGCTGCTGGAGGCTTCCTGTGTCTCCAGCTTCTTGTGTGCACGTAGTTCCTCGTTGTCAGCATCGAGTTGGCGTACAAAACTCTCTTCTTGCTTGAGCGTCGCCT